CTCATCCATCACCTCATGGCCTTTTTATGGAAATCACTAATATTCTTTTTTTTTTTTTAAGTGTTGGGCATTTATAATCATGTTATGTATTTAGTTTGTTTGTTTCCTCCTGTAATATCCTCTCGTGTTGTCCATATTGTCATTCCAGATGTGAAATGTGCTGTTCATGAGCTCTTGGATTACATGAAAGCACAAATTATCTCGAAGATTTCATGTAAAACTCAAGACTTGGACATCAAACATCACTATTTATTCATATTTCTCATTCATTTGATCTTTTATTTGTGATTTCGGCTAAATGGGATGTGTCTCTTTACCTCAGTAATAAGGTGGTCGTTTTCTGTATTATTGTCAAGTTCACCCTGAATCTCTTTATGATACTGAATATTGCTGTTATCCACACATCATGTGTTCATGAATTCCTTGTCATTAAAATCCAACCTGTATAAAAAGAGAGACAGAAAGACATTCTAGAGATGTTTCGCTGCAGAGAGCATCTCCGTTTTATTCTCATAGATGATGTAATAAAATGTATCTTCTGGCATCAAAACTCAAGACTGAGTGTGGTTCCTCAGACGATCTGCTGCTCCATGGATGTACTTGACTAGCACATCTCTGCTATGTTTGTTTGAATTGTAACAACGCCTGCCGTGTCTGAGGAGCATGGGTGAGCTACACTATATTCTGCTAGTTAATTAGTATAGTTAATAAAGCTTTAAACACCGCCTAACTTCTGAACTTGCTCTCATATGTAACTTGAACCTGATTTTACAGTGCTGATGTTAATGAGACTGATGAAGGTCATGACTTTCCAACTGAAGATGTTTCCTGTGCAGTTTTTGAACATTGACATCAGAGCTGTCATTACGCTGGGTTCATCACAGATGGTGTGGATGACAGATGTGATGTGATGGTTGGGCTGTCCTGTGACTGCATGTTATTCATCTGAGAGTGTAGAGTGAAGTTTGAGGAAGGTAAGGAATCAGGAGTCTCTTCACATAAACACTTTCAAATGGACCATAAACAAAGGCATTGCTTCTGCTTTGGCTGTTATCATGATGTTCTGCTCACATGCAGATCTGCTGAAGAAGAGGAATGTCTGAGTCTCACATGGGGTGCCTCAAGGCTCAATGTTTGGTCCCCTCATGTTCTCCATACACAGCCCCACTGGTGCATGATCATAATGTACATGGGCTTCTTGTCAGAATATGCAGCTTAGCTCCTTGTTTATTTCAAGACTGGACTACTGCAATGCTGAATTAGCCAACTAGCACAACTACTAAAGCTGTGTTCATAACATGTCATAATTACTGTAGTTTTGAGATAACGTGACGTTCTACGCTGAGCCGTCCACGTCCTCGGACTCTGAATTATGTGTTTCTATGGCACCATCAATGGCTAAGTAGCGCCTAAATGAATCTGTGGTGGTCAGGTGGTACAGTGGTCACGTGGTCCAAGTTATGGCTCTCAGAACATTCCCAGCTTTCAAGTTGTAATTTTGAGTTCCGCGAGTGTGTGAACACTTTGGCGATGATGGCGTTGCCATAGAAACGCCGAGTCTGAGGACGTGGACAACTCCGTGCAGAACGTCCCGTTATCTCTAAATTACGGTAATTATGACGTGGCGTGAAGCCTGAGCTGAAACCTCTGCAGATGATCCCCAATGTGGCAACATGTCTAGTCCTCAATTAGCCAACATGGACTCACATCACGCCCATTCCAAACTCACTCCACTGGCTTCAGATTTAAGGTGTTGATGCTGACTTACTGGACTGCCACTAGAAGTACACCACCTCAATACTCCTGGCCACTGACGCCTTGTTCCTTCACTGTGTTTCCAAAACATTCACCATCTCTGCTCCTCTCTGGTGGAATGAGCTGCTAACCTCCACCCGAACTGCTGAGACCATCACAGCTTTCAAGAAGCAGCTTTTCCACAAGCATTGAACCAAGGCACTTACTATTACAACCCTCGTCAAAAAAATGTAGTCTCTTTTCTGCATTTCACTCCTGCTTCTGCTTGTAGTCTGTACTGCTTCAACTTGCTCTTAGTGAATGCAGGACATCGGTGATGATGGAAATTCATCTGTCTGGTGTCATTTTAGAGCTTGATGTCCTCTTTCGTTTTCATTATTTGGAGAGCAGTGGCCAAGATGCTCTTTAAAAAAATAAAATAAATAAATAAAAATCACTTTTTGTGTCCCACTGAAGAAAGTCACACAGGTTTGGAATGACGTGACGCTGAACAAATGATGATAGAATAAAATTTTTGAATGAACTATTACTCTAAGTTTGTTAATTGTTTTCCCCAAACTTTTTTATCAGCTGAACCTCTTTGATCTAAAAATTTACTTGAAGTTCCTCTGAAATTTTAAGCTAATTTAACTTGAAAAACATATTTGCATGTTCACGGTTTGAAGTCTGATGTTGATTATGACATGCAGGGAAACAAATAAAATATTTCTTTGTAACTGTTAGTATTTTATTTGGGTTGTTTTTATTTTAAAGTGTATTTAGTTTTGTTAGCTTTATCAACTCACAAAGCCCAGTTTGGGAATATATGTCCAGAAATATATTCAACAATTTTTAATGAATGTAATGTTCATAACAATTTAAAGCAGTATTGTGAGTATTGTAATGCAATATTAGCTTCAGAGACGTTAAAGTTTTATAAGACATGATCTTGTGACACTGCCACACAAAGACACATGTTTTTACCGCTCAATATATATTAAGATGGTTTTTTATCTATATATTTGAGTTTTAATGGTTTTACATGTTGTCTTAGCCATTTTAATCCTCTTAATTATTTGATGTGTGTATGTCTTTTAAATGTTCATGGGTCTGCCTGTCATGTGGTCAATCACATGACGGGAATAAGGAAGTAAACCAGTACAAAGCAAGCAGCATGTCAAACAATCAAGGTCATGTCAAACAATCAAGGTCACTGATCAAACAACCACGCTGGATTGAGGAGTTGTTCATGGACTTGCCTTTCCAGCATCTCACTCATTTTGGATGATCACTTTCTTTGGAATTGTATATACACCAGTGGACACTTCTACCTTGGGACTTCAACACACTGGGATTCTTAAGGACCGTTTTAGGGTACGATTTAAATGGACAATCTGCTTTTAACAGCCTAAGTTATTCTAGTTTTATTGTGTTGTTTTAAGTTCCTTGTGCATTATGTAAATACACGATTTATTCATTCTACTTTTGTTGTTGTCTCATCTTTGTAAAACACTTATTTTATCTCACACAGTTTAATCTGACCCATTTTAAATCCATGTAACTCGGCCGATAAGGCCGATCGTTACAATCTTAACACACACAGAAGTTGAAATCCTGATGTGTTTTAAGACTGTAGCGTGTGCTGCTTGCAATTCCAAGGTCATGGGTTCAACTCTCAGAGAAATCATGAATGCCAGGAGTTTATCTGTCCAGTTCCATGCATTCTCCACGCCGTGTGTCCTCTGTGGGGTCGTGAGGATGAGTCCATCTCAGGGCTTATATGTACACATGATGCTATATTCATTGGTTTCCATGACGACAGAGAAATGCTGATGCTGTATCCATAACAACCGCTTGCAGTACAAAAGACTATAAAAGCAAGGAAGATCTAGACGTGACATAAGAGAACATTAAATATGTTCAGTTGGTCTTTGGTCTGAAAACTGCTGAACTGTCATGATGTCACCAAACTTCATGTATCTGTGTATGATGACTACGTATTTATGTGTGTGCAAGATTTCATGTCAGTTAAAGTTTGATTGAAACACATGTACCCCAATACACACACAAATGACATTGTATCTCCTGTAAGAGAGATCTGATGTGTGTGTGTGTGTTAATGATGTGTCTCCTCTCTGCTGTGGTTTATAACTGATTCTTATAGACTGCCCAGATAGCACAGGTATGTCTGCAAGAGGTCTGTTAAAGATCGCTTCATCTGGAAGCATCTGCTGTGTACAAACATCTGTTAGAGGTCTTTAAGATGTCAGTTTTACATATCAAACATCTTAAAGACATCTTCTAAACGTCTATTTGACATCTGATAGGAAACGTCCTATAGTCATATTGCGGATGAGCAAACTCTCTAAAAAATACGTCTTATAGACGTCTCTGTGATGGACGTGTGCGGTCAGGGTGGCCATCTGCATTATAAAACACTTGATTTAAACAGATTTGAGTACACTTTATACAGTGATTGAATTATTTTCATCATTAGCATGATAACTGAGTCATCTTTCCATGGGATTCTTAATCCTGTGTAACTAAATGTTTGTATTTTTACATTTTAAGATATACTGCATTCATTCTCCATATGCCATGTTTTTTTTTTGTTTGTTTTTTTTATCTCAGCCGTAGTTTATGGTGTTTCATGTCATCAGTATCTGAAGAAAGTCATTATTAGCATTATTTCCAGTGCTTTTACAGCTACTCCACCCACCTGTCTCGAGTTAACCAGATCTAGTCATAGACTGCTGCTGCAGTGAATCACAGGGCGGGGCTTGAGCGCGTCGATCACTGCAGCTCGTGTGCTGATTGGCTGCTGTGAGGTGTGGGCGGGGTCAGACGGAGGGCTGAATAATTCACTTACAGTTAGACCGATTAAAGCGATCTCTGTGCTGGATTAAATAGTGCGGATCCCCGATCAGGTTTACAGCAGATGAATCGGTGATCATCAGAATGAAGAAGAGTGTGGTGGTGATGAAGAAGATGTGATGGCGTAAACTCCGCCCATCAGCCTCCATCTGAACAGCAGCTCTCGCATCGAGCACAACATCGCTGTTTTATCGCTCGTTTTGGGGTAAGAGCATCGTGCAGATGAAAAACACGCTAAACCCACTCATACTGTGTGACAGCGGCTCTCAGTGATATGTGCGCTATTCGCATGCATTTCAGCATTCACATTCATCTCAGTTTGACATTTTGTGATCGATGCGTCTGCGATGATGATCGCGGAGTTAAACGCAACGCGACCGAAAGCGGTGCGATTTTAATTCGCATTATATATATCGACGCCCATCGTCCGATCTGAACACGTTTAATAAGGTTCATGTGTGCTGGTGTCATTGTGTGTTTGTGTCGTTCAGTCCTTCATCTTCACTTGATCTGAACTGAACTCATCTCCTCAAACATCAGCGCTAAAGATAACTCTGATATGCGGTGCATTGATATCTATAAGAATACATTAAAAAAACACACTGATTGTAGCTACTAGTCAGGTTAGTCACGTTAGTTGTCAGGTTAGTTGTGACGTTAGAGGGCGTGACATCTAACATTCCAACTCAGAATCCTGTTTAGTAACCATGGTAATTTGACTTAGGAAATAGAACTTTTTCAGATGTGGCGTCAAGTATTTAAATAGACGGCAAGTTTCCCATAGATGAAATTATGCAGAAAGTATAAATTAGACTGGATGCAGTTCTCTAATATCAGTTTGCCTCAAATGTTCCTCCTAAAACTCCTTTACAGGAAGAAAATTAGACTCACCCCTGTTGAAAAAACCAGCATATGCTGGTTAGGTATGTTTTGACGCTGGGATGCTGGTTTATGCTGATCCTTTCGCTGGTTTATGCTGGTCCTTTGCTGGCAAAGGACCAGCATAAACCAGCAAAAGGATCAGCATAAACCAGCAAAAGGACCAGCTTAAACCAGCAAAGGACCAGCAAAAGGACCAGCTTTTTTACTATTTTACCAGAGTCTGATCATTAAACTGGCTTAAGAGATTCAGAAACCATATGCAACCAGATACGTGTATTTTTCTTGGCAATTTAAAGCAATATATTATTCCATTGATTAACACATTAAATCAACATATTTAAGAATCATCTTGAGCTGAAATAAGATTTAGTGTTGTTTCTGTAATTTTAATCCCTTTTTTGTCACACCAGACTTTTCACACTTGCAATCAAAACTTAAATTTAATTTAATTTGGTCAGCTCGTGACAAAAAGCATTTAAAGATTCAAAGTTAGAGATTCATCTTTGCTATAACGTCAGCGTCACTGGGAAAGTGTTTGCGTCTCTGTAAGAAAACATGTCAAAGTCATGGCCGTCTGGATGTGCTGCAGTGAGCGCCGTTCACACTGACAGCGATACAAAGCCACCGGACCTCATTCAGTTTCTGTGAGACGGATATGCAAATGAGCAGGGAAGTGATGCACTGACTACCAATGAGAGCAGAGCGCGATACGGCCGCCAGAAACCAGCAGCGCAGTGACTCTTGTGATGTGTAATAATTATGTTGTTTCTGATGAAATATGTGAGCCTGGACCACAAAAAAACAGTCATAAGGGTACATTTTTGGAAATTGAGATTTGTACATCATCTGAAAGCTGAATAAATAATATTTCCATTGATGTATGGTTTGTTAGGATAGGACAATATTTGGCTGAGATACGACTATTTGAAAATCTGGAATCTGAGGGTGCAAAAAAATCTAAATATTGATAAAATCATCTTTAAAGTTGTTCAAATGAAGTTCTTAGCAATGCATATTACTAATGATAATACATTTTTTATATAATTATGGTAGAAAATGTACTAAATATCTTCATGGAACGTGATCTTTACTTTTTTGGCATAAAAGAAAAATTTATAATTTTGACCATACAATGTATTGTTGGCTATTGCTACAAATAAACCTGTGCTACTTAAGACTGGTTTTGTGCTCCAGGGTCACATATGTGATCTGAGAAGCCGGCTGTTATGAGACGTATGTGAGCTGATGGCGTGTGTTTTGGCCGTCAGGGCCGATGCTTGTCATGCCGTCTCCGTCAGACATCGTGAAGGTGGCCATCGAGTGGCCTGGTGCAAACGCTCAACTCATCGAAATCGACCAGGTACTGCTTATTACTCTTACACACAAATGCTATTAAGTAGTGCTTTTGTTTGACCTGCTGATATTTGTTCTTACAAAAATGTGTCATGGTGATATTTGACATCAATATACTGTTGAACATAGTTATTGATACTGAAGAAATGACGGAGGGATAGTGAAACCTGTTCGAAGGACATTATTTGTGGAAGTGTATTGGTAAAAACAATAACTGATTACTGTAGTATTTGAGGAGAAACTGTATGTGCTGTTTGAGATCCACAGGAGCGAGTGTGTGTGTGTGTGTGTGTGTGTGTGTGTGTTGCAGAAGAAGCCGCTGGCGTCCGTCGTTAGAGAAGTGTGTGATGGGTAAGTCAGTCTCTCAGTCTGTCCTTCTAAACATATGGTAACATAACGTATGGTTTATACTTTAGTAAGCATGTTGTAATGAATACTTTTAAAATGAATGATGCTTCATTTCCAATGATTATTTTCTCTGTTTATTTGTAACTTGATTGCACACAAATCAGAAGATCAGATTATTGATATCAAATGAAGGGGGTCTGAATACTTTCCGTACCCACTGTATATATATAATATAATCGTCCTGCTGATCGTAAAGCAGTCCTGTTCTCAGACAGACGTGTGTGTGAAGCATTCTGTTCATTTCACTTCTGAAATCACAATCATATGGAAACCGATTTCCATCACGGAATTAAAAAGGCGTTTGTGACTTTTTATTTTTCCTAGAATTATGAGAAAAAAAGTCAAAATCACCCTTTTTATTTTTATCAGATATATAAACTTGCAATTCTGAGGTAAAATACTTCTGTATTTTGTATACTTCTGTATACCACTGAATCTAGATCTGTCTCTGTCAGAAATAGATGCATTAACGAGAACACTAGTGTGCTATTTATGGAGGCTATATCTTTAACACCAAGCATTTCTGCAGACTCT